CTTTGAACCAAAATTGCCAATTTTATTGATATTATGAAACAATTTACACATAATTAACTTTATCGCTGTAAAGGTTAAAACGGAGCATATATGTGTATATGTATATGTTCCAGGAAAGAATTTTGTTATCAAGAATATATATTGATCGCATCACGCACGCTAAAGAGTCACAAATTCTTGCAAATCATAAAATATAATACAATTTCTAATAATAACGCAAAGAATTGTTATGATATTTATATTATACTACAATTTCTCTCAGTTAAAATTTATTGCATAGAATTAAAAATGTTTTAATGCTTAGTTAATAAAAATTAAATTGTTTAAATTTGTAGAAATATGTTACCAAGAAAAGAAATTAAGAATTCTGATATTAGACAATAATTTCTCAAAAAAGTTTCAATTTGTACCCAATTTTTAAGCAATACTATCTTAAAATTAGTCAATCTTTTGAAATATTTTATATATAGAATTTTTTTATCAATGTTTTAATTTAATAAGTGAATTTTTTTTAACATGTAAGTTTCTATTTCCAATCAATCTTCATAACATTAGCAAAATAATTATACTTTAGTCCAGAGCCCACATAACACGTATGTCCAAATCGGGAGATGAGACGATAATATAAAAAGATATCTTATTATCATTTGTAAAAAGTTTTGTGTCCCTATTTTGGACATGGTGCTGTCTAATAACAACTTATTGTTAGTAATTATAAAATCTATAATAATTGTATTGTAAATAATAAAAATATTGCAAATAATACTTGTTTGATAAAATATCATTAAGCGTAAGATGTTTTTATGAGATATATATATATATGATATCATTTTTTATGAGAAATTATATTTTAAAGTTTTTTTCTTATAATAAAATTTATATATCCCATTTATTATACAGGAAAAAGAACTATTTTAACAATTCCAGTTATAAATTCATATATGAAAAATGTCTAATCATAAAAAAAATAAAATTAGACGGAACATGGATTTGTAGTAATATATCATAAAAATAAATTATAAAACTTTCTTTTAAGTAATACATTTCGTTCATTGCTACTATTTTTTACTTCGGCTAATTAGAGTAATTGCATATTGATGTAAGTACTCGCAGTTTGACAAGTTAATTTGCATATCGCAACGATATCTTCTACAAGTTGGAAGTGAATATCTTATATAAACGCAAGTTTTAGGTGGAAAAAAGGAGTATTATTTCAGAAGTCTTAAGAAGTAATACGCAAAAGTTAGGACAACAATGACAAAAATTACAATCATAAATTGCATCATTGCAGCTGTTTGCGTAAGTTTTTTAATTCCTGAATCTAAAACAGTGTGTTATTTAGGTTGTAAAAATTTAATATTTAATAAGAAATATAAAAACTTAAAAATTTTATTTGATATCTTTTTTATAATTTATATATAAATATATAAAGTAACATTGTGTATATGCAAGTGAAAGTATTCTTCTGTTTTTCGAATATTAAAAATAATTATGCATTTATTATATATTTTACGTTTTATTGATTTTATGATATTTTATTCATATAATTCTAGATTTTTCAAACAGTAGAGGCAGGACTTCTTAATAAATCACTAGGTTCTCTATTGGATACTGTGCAAAATCAAGTTTCAAATACGGTTGAAAATGTAAAAGGATTGGGAAAAGAAGGAATCCAAAATGGAAAGGAAGCTTATGATAGAGTAAGATTTAATTTCAATGTGACTAGCTAAATATCAAATCGTATAAATTAGTTACATTTTAATATTATTTTATATTTAAATATAAGCAGTTTTAATTTCAATCCGTATCATAAAGCAAAAATGTTATTTCATCAGTTATTTTATCAAATTAAATTAACAATTCATTATAATACGTGACAGTAAACTTATTCTTTACTCAACAATATTTAATACAAATTTGAGTTTAATAAATCTATATTAATTCTAAATGGTTAGTCTATAATACATTACAAATAAAAATAGTAAAAATATATAACATGGAAAAATTTAACTGTGATTAATGCTGATTAACGTAGATATTACAAATGAATGGAATTCATTAAATAACAATGAAAATACAAAAATTAATTATATGTTCGCTCTCATAATTTTGTAACATATTACATGATTATAATTAAGTTAATAGCATAAAATTTATATTTCTTTACAAAAAGTAAATCCATTCAATTATTTTGATATTTTAAATACAATTTTAATTTAATATATATTTTGGATCAATATCATTTATTTTAAAATATATGCAATATATATGTAAGTATGTATATGCCTATATAGAATTATTCTTACACGGAAAGAATTTTCTTTTAAAATTTACTCTGAAAATATGGTAGTTATGGTAGAATACAATATTTTAAAGATTTTTTTCCATGCTTCAGTAAAATTGATCAAACTTATTTTATACTTCATTGTAGTTTTATTAATGAATGAGAGAGATTTTCATTAAAATTTTTCGGAATACAATGTTGTCCCACGAGTGTCATATTTTCAGAATAAATTCTAAGAAAAAATTCTCTCTCCGTATACACACACACACACACACACGCTCACGCTCACGCTCACGTATGCACGCACAAAATTAATTCTCAATTGTATTATTAAAAAAAAAATTTTTTTATAGCAACAGAAAAATTTTTAATGGCAATATTTAAAAATTGTATATTGCTAATTTTTGAAATTTCATATAGTTAACAGATGGACTTGTAGCACCCCAAACAGGACTTTCAACATCTACGTCATGCACTAATGCGGGCAATATTATTCAAGAAGCTGCCGAGCAAGTAATGAAAATTTTTGATACATGCATTGTAAAAACTAATTCAACTGAAATTAAAGAATTGATCGATGCAACCAAAAGTCTGCAAAATGTATCAAAAAATTTTCAAGACGCTTTAAATTGTATTCACGATCAGGAGATGGTTCAATGCCTCACTAATGTAAGTATTTTAATTAATTTTAAACATTTTTTTAATAATAATTTATAAATATTTTTATAATAATACAAAACTTTTTGGTAATGTTAAAATGTACTCTTGCATTCTAATGCGTAAAAACGTTTATACAAAACGTTGATTAATACATTAAATATATATGTAACCTATTTGCTTGTCTTTCGACAATGTCGGAGTAAAATTTTTACTATTAAATCCACATTTTGTTTAAATACTATTTAATATATTTGAATTATGTAAAATTTTCATGTATTATAGTATATTTATTATTTTAGAAATGACTTCATTAATATTAATTATATTTTTATTAAGAGTTGCAAATATTATTTTGTACAAATTTTATATATTTTTTTTTAATTTAAGTAACGCCGGTCAATGCCGATCACTAGTTTAGCAATGAAAGTTCAAATGTTGTTCATAGATGATCAGCATAGCATTTAACGCGTTAAATTATAATTGTTTAAAAGACGTTTTAAAAGAATTTTAACATATTTTTTTTTTTTAGGTTAAAGGGAAAATTGTCGAAATAATGACAAAAATTATAAATACGGCATCTAAAAGTTTGGGAACAGTCGTCAATAATACAATGTTAATAAGACAGTGTTTGAAAAGTGGAATTCTGCAATTAACCAACCAGGTTATGAGCCAAATCGTCCAACACGTGGAAGAATGTCTCCAAAGTTGGACTTTTACACTACCATTTAAATTATAAATTATTTATGGATCAATACAACTCTATTTTTACCTGCATTACAATATATATCAACATATATGTATAGTATATATATATGTATAATATATAGTATAGTATATATATAATGTATAGTATATATATGTATAATATATATTATATATATATCATAGTATAAAGACATAGATATATCACATAATATATTATCACTGTGTGTTATGTAAAAAGATGATAATTTTTTCACACTGCACATATTTTTCAAAATATAAAATATAATCAATAAATAATAACACTGTTGTGGCCATCTATCTGAATTTAAAAAACTAAATACATTATATAGAGCATCGTAATAGAAATCACAAGCAATTAGGCAAATAAAAAGATTTTAGATTGATTAAATTTTTTTAATGTTTTAGTTTTATAGATTGTTTAAGAGATTATACAGGATGTCCCAGGAGGAAAGATATTAATATTGGTTTGGATTAATATTCCGAGAGATATTGATAATATTTTAAGCAAAAATATCTATATAAACTATATTCCGAACAGAAAAATATGTTTATGTTATTATAAACTTCAAAAAATATTTTACTTGAATAATCAATTATTAGAAAAAATACGTAGTATCTCTTTTTTAACAATAATTTCGCAACTATATATTCAATTTTGGAAACTATTTGGAATAAAACACATTATATTCATATACAAAAATTTTTGCTTAAAATGACTGATATTATCCTTCCAAAATATTGATCTTTTGTTCCAGGACATCTTGTATCCTAAGAAAATTTAATAAAGCAGAATTTTAAAAGATATATACAGTTATCAAAAGTAATAATAAAATAAATAATAGATACAATTAATTTTAAAAAACAAAATTTGAACTCCTTATATAAATCAGTAAATGTACATGTGTAGTTGACAAACGAAAAAAAGAGTAAAATGGAAGAATAAAATGGATATAAAAGTATCTAGAATAAAAAAAAGCGAGAAATGAATGAGAGTATGAGAGAATGAACAAGAAGACATTCAAGATAAAACTATCACGAGTCTGTGAACACCGTGTTTGACACAAAACAGTGCGCATGGGTGCGGCACGACATATGAAATCGCCATTATGAGAAGTGACGAAGAGCCGATCAATGTCACCATTGAACCACAACGTTCATATTGTTAGAAGAAGCTACACAATAATTAGAATTTGTAAAAGAAAACATTATTGTTTCACGTTTTGACCGTGTCAACATCAATTAGAAATATAGTTTTATATTGTGTTTCGACAAAATTTATATTTTACATTAAATAATTCTTTCTTCGCAAAACAATATTAAATAATTTTGCATGTATAAAAAGTAGATATCACAAACGTAGCGATTGCGTGCTGGAGCAAGTGAATCAAACACTACTCCTAGTGATTGCTAAACACGATTACTCATCAGTAACTGAGTAATCGTATTACTTATGACAATGTTACTTACGACAGGAATAAAAACACAAAAAGTAAAAAGAGTAATGTAACTATGAATGCATCATAGAAAATAAACTAGAGAAAAGCGTGAAATATTGTTGTGAAAGTAAAAAATTATCCTGAAATCAAGCGTATACGATAACATATAATTAATGACTAGTGATTGCTTATAGTCATTGTGTAGAAATAGGAAGAAAAAGAGATGACACAAGAAATTTTTTATTATTTTAAGACAGATTTCACTATTTATTATATAGAATATTTCATATATATATATATATATATATATATATATGGCGATATATAAATAAAAAAATATATATATTATGCAAACATAAATTCATAAAAAATTGATTAAAAAGTTACAATAAAATAAAATTCTAGTAGTGTAAAATTTAACGATCTTGAAAATCAAGAGACTGCAGCGCAAAACGCTCTAATTGCATTCATGCCATACATTACAAAAATTATATGTTTGTTAAGAAAATAAAATTTTTTTTCATAACTTTATATTAGTCCATACAATTATTTATCAAAAACAATCTTATTATTGCAGTAATTTTAATTCCTTCTATTTTTGTCGTACGAGATGTCTCGTATATTTAGAATTAAACGTAGAACGCATATAATATAATAAAAATAAGTATATATCTATTTATTTTTTCAATAAGATTACGTCTCTTAAATTTGACGTTTATATTTTCACAGCAAATATTTAATTATATGAATAAATATATTTCAAAACACAAAACAATCAACAAAGCTCTTTGTTAACAAAGTTGCAGCAAATAGTGACAACAAAACAAAATGTGAAGTTCGTGAACCTCTTGTTTGAGTCACTGCACAACGCCTTAGTACAATCAAACCTATTTACATCGCATCATAGGAATGAATGGTTGCCTATAATACAGGGCATACATATACCTTAACATCTGCTTACCATACCCCAATACATAAATAAATATTGCGAATTTATTACATAAAACGTTTTATTTATTTTTAATATTACTTCTAATAATAAAAAGTTTTTATAAACTTTTCTCTTTAATTTAGATAGCGTAATATTTCAAGAAATAAAAGTATCTTTTCTTTAACACATTTCGATTAAATAAAATTTCTTTAATTTAAGTAACCAAGAAATATTGTAATTTAGCTGAAATTATTTGATATCTGCATTAATAATTTAAAAAAAAAAGATGGTCCATTATGATGAGAAAATATTCTCTTAAATATGCTTATATTCAAAGAGTATGCATTTTTCTTTTTAACAAAAATTTTATTTCAGTATCCTCTTTAAATAAAAGATACTAAAAATTTATATTTAAAAAATTTAACTAGGCATACATATATCTAGGCATGCATCTACGTTGCAATATATATTTGCAAGTGCTTCTTCCTTTACAAGTGCTGAGCCAAACATCAAAGAGAAAGATCTGTTATCAAGATCTTATATTAACACAGAAATAAACGCGCAACTATTTGATAAATATTACAAACTTTCTGAAATAAATTTCATCAATTATATTATGCAATTTGTAAATATATAAAACATGTTTCACAAGATCATATTAAATTAGTCTCGAATTTTATATAATATATAATAATGTCAATATATATCATATTTTTTTCCATAGAAAAATTGAAATATTATTTTTAATTAATAATTTTCTACTTATCATGGAGAATACAGGAAACTTCTATCTTAAATAAAAAATAATATGTCATTTTTTTATTAAATTTTTTCACGAATGATGCACATACTACTTAAAAAATATATAAATTTTTTAGATTCTTTTAGATTCAATCTATACTTGAAAAATATTTAATTTTGATTCTTTTCACTACCGCAAATCACCTCTGTAAATGTTAAAATAAAGCACCATATACATACTGCATCTGCACGACAGTTTTACGACATTACCAAGAACAGTCGCGAACAAGGATGAAACCGCAAATCCATGCAAACCACGAGATATGTATTGCAAAGTCGGCGTCGAGGTGATAAAACGTAGTCAACTCGTTCGCTATATGCAAATGTTCTATTAATTCTTGTTATAGTAATATAAAAATAACAAAATAAATAAATAGTATATATTTTTATTTTGTGAATTATGTATCTTTGTAGTAAAAGAACGATAAATAAAATAAGTCTACAGCTTTATTTATTTTTAATAAAGTTACAGCTTCAATTTTGAAGTTCGTAGCGCTACTTTTGTTCCAACCTAATATTTTTCAAATTTGTATTTATCTAGAGGATTTATCTGTCTTAATTTAGTCTCAACAAATTAATAATTAAAATCGATGCATTAGGTAATATAAAAATTGTTAGCTATTATTAAACTATTTACAATATTATAAGAAAAATATTTATTTTTACGTACTATACATATAATATATCACAACATATAATATTGTGATATATATGTGGTTAAAGATGTTAACCAGAGAGATTAAGAATATTTCAAAATAATAATTTATCTATTATTTATTCTATATCTTTTCAATATTTTTATATTTCTGAGAGTACCAATATTTTAATATTTTTTTATATAATACCAATATGATTAAATTCATTAATTTGGCAATTGTAGCCAATTTTGCTAATAATATGATTAATAAAAGTAGGCTATTATTCTTACAATCTATATTACATTTAATCCACATTATTCATAAATTACATTTTCTAAATTATTTTGTAGAAAACTTTTCTTATAATTAAAGTAATTCTTTGTATATAATTTTTTTTATAGATTTCTGTAAATTTTTAAAAAAACAAACATTTTTCCCAAATTATTAAGTAATCAATATATATTAAATAAGATAAAAGATCAAAATTTGTAATATACCGTCCAAAACTGTTTAATTTGAAAAGCTGTTCATCGATACATAATGCAATTTCTAAAATAAAACACAAACGGAAAAATAATTAATATGAATTTTCCAAGGAAAATTGTACTTTTCCAATCGACAATATAGATTCAACAACATTTTCTTGCTCTGACAAATTTCATCAACGAGCAAGAAGAAAAGCATGTTTTGCGTTATGATCAAAAGATAGTGGCGAGACGGGAAAAGACAGGAAAAAGAAGTTACTATGGATAGTAAGGGTTTTCCTACGTTCATCTCCTCGACGATCTCGCAGCATCAACCTGTTCTGAAAATCAATACGCCGCGTTACGGCAAATTTATATGAGGGAAGAAAATAGTAGAACAATGAAATAACTTAATATAACTATGATACGGATTATAATTCTTAAATTATAATTCTTAAATTCCGAAATTTTTATATTTATTAAAGTTTTTTTGTGTTTATACAAAAATACAAATCTTTACTTTTATTCACACTGATTGCCCTTTTTCGCTGTTAACCGACGATTGGTTGGATTATGACTCATTATTAATATGTTTTATCATTCGACAAATTGACTAAATATAATATGGTTGGGTTTATACTGACTATTGAAAATCGAAGTTGAGATGATCTTTTAAAGATGTTAATTTAATTTTTGTTATATGGGGTAATTATATTTCTGCGACTGATGAGGACTAAGTATAATCGAAATGTATCGGTGGAAAATTATATTGT